CCCCTTTCTACACCCCCTTTCCCTCCTGGTATCGCCACTGTCACCCCTGGTCCTGAGAGGTTCATCTGTCCTAGATTCCCTGCGTTTCCAGTTCCCATGATTAGGACTAATTTAAATAGGGGAAAAGAACGATTTGGTGAACTTTGGATTAAAAACTTTCTGAAACAAAATAAATCAGATAATTGCTAGACAATTATCTGAAGAATCTTGAAAGATGGGCTTTAATAAATGGCTTGTAGTTAATATTACTTACAAATAATTAATGGACGCTGCTAAAGTGTATGGAAAATACACCTGGTGGCATAATGGGTTCCGAGTTGGGCTTCTAACCACAAGGTCAGCAGTTTGAACCCACCAGCTGCTTGTTATAGATTCATAATCTTGGGAACACAAAAGGGCAGTTCTAGCCTACCCGATAGTGTCCTTATGAGTTGGAATCAACTTGATGGCAGTGGATTTTAGTTTAGAGTACATAGAAACACGGTCTCTCCCAAACTATTTAAAGTCTGATAAAGCCTTTCATCAAAATGTGAGATAATAAACAGGATGGGAGCACCATCTGCGCTGGCTTTCCTTTATGTCATCACACTCTAATCCTGAAAGGCGTCCAGGAAGAATCCATGAAGCTAAGTCTTTAGCAAACACCTCTGGGAGTTTATTGGTTAAAATCATCTCGCCACTATGCTAACAACACGCTGTGGTCACGGCACACTGCTCGCTCGCTACAGAGGCAGACCCTGTGCCTCCTCTGTTCTGTACGCTTCTGCTGCGGAGCACCACTAGGCAAAGGAGGCTAATACGAGCAAACATGTTGAATGTGAAGAATTCACACACAACGATGTAATAATTAAAGGAGTGCAGATCACGCGTAGCATGATTCACATCCAAAATGAGAGCCAAGACTGGCCTTGGAGTAATAGCCATAATCTACTACTACGGCCCTGGAGGCACCACAGGGCAAGATCTTCATATTCCAACGCCAAGTCCACGGCCCAGCACACAGAAGGCATTTAACAGATACCGGTAAATTTGTGATGCTTTTGAAATTCTTTTTCCCCTGTAACATCAAACTACTCAACCTTCAAGAATAAATAAAAACTCAAGTTAAATCACGACAGACAGGAAGTCCACCATTTACAAATGAGTCCGTTTCTGTAAGCCTTTAAGCCTCGGAGGCGAGTTGGACTAGGTGCACATGGAGCAGATGTTAAGTGCTTGGCTGCTAACTAAGATGAGCCTGCCCATCTGAGGCTGATTTACAGCCCCAGGAACCGTATGGAGAGGTTTCCACTCTGTCCTACACTGTAGCTATGAATTCGAATCAACTTTTCAGTAGTGGGTTTGATTTTTGGGTTCAGTGCAGAAAAAAAAAAATCTTGATGCCTTTTCAGTGATTTAAAAGCTGCATGTGCTTTTAAATGGAGTGGTGATTGTGATGGAGAATTTGCTGAGAGGAGGGGTTGGTTCAATCTTTTATTGTAGGCAAATTTACTATATAATATTAAAGGCAAGCAAGCAAGAGTTGTGGATAAGGCAGACATTCATAACCCAGGAGCTGCTTGTACTGTACTTTTATTAACCTAAATATCTTTGCAGCGTGATTAACAAATATAATTTTAAGTTCAAAGCAGTTTTTTTAAAGTTTAGGTGCTGAAACTTTAAATGTCAAAACTTTCCCTTTTGACAATTCTCCCACCCACCCCTCCCCAAAAAAGTGGGGAGGAGAGAAAGAATACGCCATGAGACTGCCACAGGTCAGCACCTGCCCTTCTAGCTAGGGTTTCCCACGGCATGTCCACATGACTTCTGCTGTCAGCAAAGCTCATTTTACTCAAGAGATTAATCCAGGACCAACACAATGACTTTCAACCCAGATATAGTTATTCTGCGAGTAAAAAAGATTATCAAAGGACAAGAAGATCCTTTAAAAACAAAGGCAGCCTTTCCACTAGCAGCCTCTCTGCTGCTGGCACAAGCAGCCAACTGGAGGCCGCTCTCATCCCCTGGCTGCCGGGCCTCCTCTTTTCCTCCATCTTTTTTCTAAAGGTCCCACTCATGTTCGCAGACACCACTAAGCTGGCAGACAACAATATCTGCCATCTTTTAAGTATGAACACAGAGGAAGCTGTGGCGAGAGAAATGGATTTCTTCAGCAACCTAAGAATGGAATTAACAGTCATATTAACTTATATTGATACCTCATACTGATAAAGCTCGCCAGAAGCCCGAGCTCAGCAAGAGCTTTCCCATCTAAATATGTTAGCCTGTGTTGCAAACAGCTTATTAGATTCAGGTAATGAATAGAGTCCGCTTGTGAAGTGGGCAGAACGTTAGCTCTAGTATGAACCTGGGTGGGTGGCTGCCGATGCTCACATTTCTGTGGCCTCCTCATTGCTGGTAAGGTGGTCTACTTAAACACTGGTGAACAGTAATAACCTGGCCTTCTCTCTGATCCCAAACTAGGCACTGAAGAGACACTGCATCACAACTGTTCTGTGGCCCACTTGCCCTCTCAGCTGGTGGCCGCCTTCCCAATGAAGTTTCGCCAAGAGTGGTGGTCACCTTCACAGTTGTAAACAAAGAAAATGCTGCCTGAATCAACAGCAAACATCACACGCTCTCCCTCGAGCACAGTGGTTTTCAACCTTCCTAATGCCGGGGCACTTTAATATAGTTCCTCATGTGGTGGTGACCCCCAAGCATAACATTATTTTCGTTGCTACTTCATCACTGTCATTTTGCTACTGTTATGAATTGGGCGACCCCTGTGAAAGGGTTGTTCGACCCCCAAAGGGGTCAAGACCCACAGATTGAGAACTACTGCTCTAGTGAAACCAGATCTTAAAAATAGCCTCTAACTGGGTTGGACTTACTACATAGAAACCAAATAGGATAATTCTGGTGAAAACAAAAATCCAAAGGCAACTGCACAGCTGTTCGGTTTTCATTATTTCCTGTTATTACTAAGTGCTAATTGGGGTGCTTTAGATCTGTAAAGAACGCCGAGTCTAGATATGATGTGGAGGAAGAGGAGGGAGGGAAAGGAGATAATGGTTCTGATCCCCTGAGTATTTCAAAGCCAAGAAACTCCATCAAACAGCTATTTTGTGGGCGGGACCTCGCCCCTCATCACGAGCCTTGTCCTCAGTGTTCCACTCTCAATACTACAAGTGCGAAAGGCTAGCAGGTCAGGCCGATGCGCTCTCCAGAGAGCACATCCAAACACAGACCTCTACTTGCAGTTTAAAAACCCAAACAACAGGCTGCTTTGACATGCTAACCATTTTCAAGCACTTGTTCAAACCCACCAGTTGCTCAGGAGGAAGTTAAGATGGTCTGCTCCCGTGAAGATGTCTAACCCCGAAACCCTATGCAGGGTCACGGTGATTTGGAGTAGACTCAATGGCAGTGGGGAACCAGTTCCAGTGGTTGCGAAGGTGATTCTGATCCATGCTGACCCCACGTGTATCAGAACAGACCTGTGCGCCACACATTCTCAGTAGCTGGTTTTCAGAAGAAGAGGGCCATGCCTTTCTCCTGAGACACTTGTGGGTGGACTAGGAGTGCCAACCTCTTGGTTAACAGTTGTTAAACCCGGTGCTATGCCATAAAAGATCTCTGAAAGGAGATCCGGTACCTTACAAATCTGTGTATGTCTTTTGACCCACAGTTTAATGACAATGTAGAGTTTTGTTGCGCAATTTTGGAACATGGAACGTGCTAGGTACTGCAATCTATAGTTTTATCTGCATACTGCTTAATTTCCAAACAAACAATACACAAACCGGAGTCATTCCTGTATGACTTGGGCTGCTAACTGTGAGGTCAGCAGTTAAAAACCATCAGCCACTCCTTGGGTCAAATGCACTTTAGTTTTAAAAGTAACCTCCTTGCTTTTCAACACTTTAAAGAGGTCTTGTGGAGCAGACTTACCCAATGCAATGTGTCCTTTGAGCTCGACAGCTGCTTCCATGAGCGCTGACGCTGAATGCAGGCAAGACGAAATCCTTGACAACTTCAATCTTTTCTGTTTACCATGATGTTACCTGCTGGTCCAGTTG